GGGGGGGGGGGGGGGGGGGGAAGGGGAAGGACTACCGAAATGTCCGGGAACTACCTAGCAGCCAGCGGGCTAACACATTCATGCGTTGGTTGGGTGGTGACTGACAGTTTATTGGAAGCAAAGCGGCCGGGACGTACCGGTACTACATGTAGCAAGTGGATACAATGATGTGGAGTGGATGAGACCCTGAAATGCATTATTTGTTGAAAGGTGTAAACCAACACAATTCATTAGAATTCGCAAAATGTTAATTAATTTTTTTTAATGAAGAAAGTCTTATTTAATATTCTTTATTGCTAGTTTTATGATCTATGATTTATGTTTATGGGTTATTTGTTTTGGTAATTTTCTCCCATTTTTTGTCAAACAAATAAACCAACCCATAAATAATGATCAGTTTGATTTTGAAGTGCAGGGGGGACAATCGTGAAAATCGCAAATACAAATATGATTTACCACCCCACTTATCGTAAATTGTTAAATTAGATGTTCTCTTCTGTTGTTAAAATATAAGAGAGAAAATGTTAAAACAAATTTGCGTTGTGTTATTCGCAGATTTTTAAAAAAAATCATAATAATGTAGGTGTCTGAGGACGCCGCCCTTCTTATTTCAAGACATCCCCATTCTATCAACATCTTTGTCTTGAGCTTATGTAATTATTATTATTTTGTTGTTTTGGTTTTGTAAAAAAAAAAATCTATTTCATAAATTTATGTCTAAAATGGATCTTTTCTTTGCCTCCTCAGGTGTTCCAGTAACGTGCCCAAGCGTCACTCTGGTGATGTCGAGAACGGACAAAGATCGGGAGAAAGACGGGACACCAAACAGAGAAAGCAAAGTCAAGGATATTTGTCCCGCTACAGTCCATTTCAGAACTCTTAATTCTTTTCTTTTATTTTGTATAGTGTTGCTGTTACCAAAAAATACAGGTTTTTGTTTTTTTTTAAATTGGCTTTATGCTGCCTAATTTTTTTTTCTAAACTAGGACCTGTTCTACACAAACATTGCCCAAGTTTGTATGGCGTTTGCTGTCGGTAAATGCAACTTGGAAAAGAGATTTAGTTAGTTGTCACTCTCTGAACAAAGAGGGAAAAAATCTCAAAGGATGCACGTTTGAGTATATGTAGATGTTCAAATCTTGAACAGAGGAAATTAATACAGAATCGATACAACCTGGATGCCAGAAACAAATATTAGTATTACACTAACAGAAAAATACACCCCAACTGGTTTCAACTGGCCAAAGTGCCACACTTCATATAAGACAAGCTATTCCAGTGGTTCCTAGCCCATTGCTTCATGACACCCGTTGGTCTACTGTGATGACTTTTAAAAGTTGCATTTTATAATTATTTTTTTCATAAAGTGAGCGCAAATTTATTTTGTCCATTAATTGACCTTGACGAGCTGGACAATGGACACCTTAAAACCTATCAGTGGACACCGAATAAATCATATTTGAGATGACCAGCCCGTATGCCATCATACACAACTGTTTTTATCAGACATAATTACGTGATGGTGTCTAGAGTCGCGAATGGGACCAATCTTTGACTATTTCTTTAGAATCTGCTCTATGATCAGGACCGCTGCCCTCTCTATACACTAGCCTCTCAGGACTGCTGCCCTCTCTATACACCAGCCTCTCAGGACCGCTGCCCTCTCTATACACTAGCCTCTCGGGTGTTGAGAAAGCATGCAAACATTTCTGTGACCTCTGGTATAGAATGAATGACATATCTGACCCCATTCCTGATGTTGCCAGTGCCTGATCTGTTGCAAACAACTGGAACATCTTTGGTTCAAAGTTTTGACTTATCATTAATCACTTATCATTAATCACTTATCATAAATGTACTTTAAACATGTTTGTAACATCCCGTGTCCAGCTTCTTTAGGTTTATTTATTAAGTATAACGGTTTGATTTATGGGACACGTCATTAAATATACAGAAATACCTGGATAATTTGACCAATCGGGGTGTGTGCGTGTACGTCGTGTGTGTTTGTGCGTTTATGCGTGTGTGTGTGCGAGTTCGTGCGTGTGTGTGTGCGTGTGTGTATGTGTATGCGTGTGTGTGTGTGTGCGTGTGTATGCGTGTGTGTGCGCGCGTGTGCGTGTGTGCGTGTGTGTGCGTGTGTGTGTGTGTGTGTGCGTGTGTGTGTGTGTGTGTGTGCGTGTGTGTGTGTGTGTGTGCGTGTGTGTGTGGGTGTGTGGGTGTGTGACGTGTGTGTGCGTGTGTGTGTTCGTGTTTGTGCGTGTGTGTGTGTACATGTGTGTGCGTGTGTGTGTGTGCGTGTGTGTACATGTGTGTGCGCGTGTGTGTGCGTGTGTGTGCGCGCGTGTGTGCGTATGTGTGCGTGTGTGTGTGCGTGTGTGTATGTGTGTGTTCGTGCGTGAGTGCGTGTGTGTGCGCGCGTGTGTTTGTGTGTGTGAGTGTGTGTGTGTGAACATTGGTTTAGACTCAAATATCAGTCAAACAAAATGTACAGAGCTGCCGTTATGAAATGTACAGTGCTGTCATTATGTGTACAACGCTGTCATTCTAATATGTACAGTTTAAAACTTTGCCTTCAGCAGTAATAGCCAAGATATGTTGTGTATGTTGAAATCGTATACACCTCGAAACCTGTTAAAATGCCTTTGAACATGGCGTGATAATTCAAAGTGAAATGTGTTTTCCACAATTTGAATTGATCCTCTATCAACTGTTCCTATAATAATCAGATTGTGTTCAAGTAATAAACTATAATCAGAACTATCTATATTATTTTGTAAGCCCTTTGCATGCGAAGATGTGTTGGGCCATATTTTGTTTCAAGTGAGGGAGAGTTGCTCAATTCGTCCGATGGTCAGACCTAGTCAAGACGTCTATTTTGAGATTCTAAGTTCCGATGATTTAGATGTGATCAGTTAGTAGAGCGATGATTACCCCAGACTTTGAGAACCTCTGTTTGAGAACGTACATATCAGCGAATAAAGTATCGATGACATAGAAGGCATTTTGATTTCTCTAGAAACTAATTTTTCTAAATGGTAGTATGGACCGTGTTTTGGTTCCAGAAGTGTCCCTGATTAAGCACTAGAATCGACCTGTTTCCAGAAGCCTCCTTGCTTTAGTACTAGAAATGACCTATTTCCAGAAGCCTCCTTGCTTTAGCACTAGAAATGACCTGTTTCCAGAAGCCTCCTTGCTTTAGCACTAGAAATGACCTGTTTCCAGAAGCCTCCTTGCTTTAGCACTAGAAATGACCTGTTTCTAGAAGCCTCCTTGCTTTAGCACTAGAAATGACCTGTTTCCAGAAGCCTCCTTGCTTTAGTACTAGAAATGACCTATTTCCAGAAGCCTCCTTGCTTTAGTACTAGAAATGACCTGTTTCAAGAAGTGTCCTTGCTTTTGTACTACAAGTGACCTGTTTCAGAAGTTACTTTGCTTTAGTACTTTAATTGACCTATTTCAAGAAGCCTCCTTGCTTTAGTACTAGAATTGACCTGTTTTCAGAAGTGTACTTGTTTAGTACTTTAATTGACATATTTCAAGAAATTTCCTTGCTTTTGTACTAGAATTTACCTGTTTCCAGAAGTGTCCTTGCTTTAGTACTAGAACTGGCCGTGTTTTGGTATAATGTCGTAACTTCTGTTAGTCCCACAATCCTTTAGTTTTTATTTCTGAACTGGTTAAAATTTTAAACTACAATGTCTTATATTCTGTAAAAAATTAGTGGCCAACTCGTGTCTCCCAATCAAAAGCCCATATTATATGTTCTTGACTAAACTAGATCTTTAAAACCTCGAAGAAACAAAAGTGCTGACATACAAACAAATGTAATCACATATAAACAGAAATGCTCGCTTCATACAAAACGTTTCGCAACAGAAATAAAGAACTCATAATACAAAAAAGTCATCTCTACAAACATAGTGTGGAACTTTTGGCTACAAACAGCAGTTCTCACATAATAACAGAGGAACTCCCAATCAAACAGGAGTACTCACACACATATAGAAGTCCTCACTTAAAAACAAAAGTACTCACATAGAAACAGAAGTACTGGCATAAAACATGTACTCATATACAAACAGAAGTGCTCGAAAACAAAAGAAATGCTCACAAACAGACGTAGTCAAAAGAAGTACTCACATACAAACAGAAGTATTCACATACTATCAGAAGTACTCAAGTCAAAAAAAGTACTCACATATAATAGGAATGTGCTTTGCAATTGCCTTGTAATATTTTTTTTATATATATTTATGTGTATGAACTTTTAATATTGAATTGTGTATGAATTATGAATGTTGAATTTTGTGTGTTAGTATATGATTTGATCAAAATAATTTGTTGTCATAGATTTTCTAAAAATATAATTTTTTTTTAAATTAAAAAAACAACAATATGTCAGTCTAGTTAAATATTAAAAGAACATACACATACACATACGGATACACATACACATACACATACGGATACACATACGGATACTCAGTTGACATTATTTGGTATTGTTGATATGTTTCAAGTGCGTGCCTTTTTCCTATCAATTTCCTTCCACAAATATTTGATTATTTTCTAATGCCTTAAAATCTTCAAGAATAAAATCAATATTTCTAAAATAGCTTCCTTGTCGTGACGTCATTTTACGTGCCCATTTTGAGCTCTTGTTTATAATCAATATTTTTTTAACTTCATGAATTCACTTACGATTAAATTGTATTTTAAATGGTTTAGGGTTAAGGCTAGATTTAGGGTTAAGGTTAGGATTAGGGTTTTAAGAGTTTAAATAAAACATTTCATGGTTGTTTCATAAAATTCAATTTATAATACTAATAATAATAATCTGAGTATTGATGATGAGATGAACAATTTCCACGCATCAATTTTTAACTAAGCGTCGCTCAAAAAGCGTCGCCAAGAATGCAGCCCGTAACCCTTATCACGCGAATGGCTTCCACGGGTTTGTAGGTCTAACCAAAGCTGACAATCACGTTAGACTGCGTGTGTAACGGTTGAAGGTACTGCTCTTCGGACATAAAGCGGACCACGGTGTAAAGTCAGGGGCTACAGCCCACACGGTGGCACGGAGCCAGCTGTGGACTGTCCCATGGTGTGGCCACATCTTGTGCTCTAGGATTTGTGTACACTTCAACTCAGAATAAAATCAAGTGCTCACTGGACATCGGGGTAGGCAGATATCACGTCAATAGAGTTGATTAGGTTTTTAAGGTAACCTTTTGTTCACGTAACACATGAACTCTGTATAAAAAGTAACTAAGAATGAAATATTAGCCAGTAGAAAGGTGAAGAACTTTCTTATCGCAAAACCGTTTTCCATAAACATTTGCTTGTAATAATTGTGATAAGGTTTTCCTTTTTTTTTTTTTTTTTTTGGCTCTTTGTTTAACCTGAGTCAAAGAAAAAACGCCCACTCATTTTCAAAGCATAGTAAATCTAATGCATCTGTTAGATTCCCCACATAGAAAATGCACATAAACATTTGCTTGTAATAATTGTGATAAGGTTTTCCTTTTTTTTTTTTTTTTTTTGGCTCTTTGTTTAACCTGAGTCAAAGAAAACACGCCAACTCATTTTCAAAGCATAGTAAATCTAATGCATCTGTTAGATGCCGCACATAGAAAATGCATGTGTTACATGACGTAGATGGTGCACATAAAAAATGCATGTGGTACATGTGGTAGATGCCGTACATATAATGCGTGTGGTACATGTGGTAGATCCCGTACATATAATGCGTGTGGTACATATCAAAAAGTAACTATTAAAAAAACAATTGGTTTTCGTTGCACTGTTTATTTCTATGATAAGGGATAACAGCGATTCCTTTTGAAGTATCGTAAGTGCAAAGCAAACGATCCCAACCTAACAGCAGTGTGCCCTGTGGTGTCTAGATCTAGTGCTCCTGCTACAATCTCACAAGCCTATTTAATGACGCATTAGATCAGGGTTTCCCAGACTTTTATATATTATGTACCCTTAAGCATGGTTTTACCAAGCCTCGCAGCCACTATAAAGGAAACAAAGTGTTTTGAAATTGGGGAAAAACAAATTGAACTTTCTATTTTTATAAAAAATTAAATTACAAAGAGACATGCACCACAAAAAAATCTTGTTTTTTTTTTACAAAAAATTGTATATTGAGAAAAGGAGAATGTTTATATTTTAAAAAAAAATATGTGTTCTCTGTTAAATCACATATCTTTGCACCCGTGAAACGTCTCCTACAACTTGTATCAACACATATAAAATACGTCATTCATCAACACACACACACAATACGTCATGTATCAACACACACAAAATACATCCTGTATCAACACACAAAAAGTACGTCATGTATCAACACACACAAAATACTTCATGTATTAACACATAGAAAATACGTAATGTATCAACACACACAAAGAACGTCATCTATCAACACACACAAAATATATCATGTATGAACACACACATAGTACGTCATGTATCAACAAAATAAATCCTGAATCAAACCACACAAAATACACCGTGTATCAACACACACAAAATACATCCTGTATCAAAACACACAAAAGACGGGTTGTATCAACACTAAAACATTCTTCATTTATGAAAACATCATAAAATACATCAAGTATCGATAAGATAAAAAACATGTAACAACAACAAAAAAATGCACCATGTATGAACACGCATAAAATACACCATGTATTAATATACTCAAAATACACAGTGTATCAACACACACAAAATACACAGTGTATCAACACACACAAAACACACAGTGTACCAACACACACACAATACACAGTGTACCAACAGACACAAATACACCATTATCAACACAATACAAAATACATCATGTATAACACAATACAAAATATACCATTGGGTCCCGTCCTATTCACAGAGTACACCAAGCCACTTCTCCTCCTGCTCGGGAGGCATGCTGTTGAGAGCCAGTCATTCGCAGATGACATGCAGCTATACAAGCCTACCCACCCCTCTCTTGTTACTTCTGCTAATCACACCTTGCAGGAGTGCATTGGTGGTGTCAAATCGTGGATGACTTTTAACTAATTCAAGCTAAAGGATGACAAAACGGAAGCATTCCTCATTCCCAATCATGAATCATCCTCTAACTCAGCTCTCCTCACCTCGTTTCATGTAGCTCAGATATAGAGTTCACATCCTCTGCTAGGAATCTTGGTTACATTCTTTCTGACAACATGTCTCTCAAAAGTTATCTCTCAGATTTGTCCCTCTGCATACACCGATATTCGTCAGATCAGCTCCATCCGCCACTACCTCACAGTCAGCGCAACAAAAACACTAGTCTGTGCTCTTGTTCTCTCTCGTCTTGATTATTGTAACTCTCTTCTGTCAGGTTCATCAAAACATTTCATAGAAAAACTGCAGAAAGTTCAAAACTCGGCTCCTAGGTTAGCTCTAAAGACAAAGAAACGTGATCACGTCACTTCACCTCCACTCACTTCATTGGCTCCCCACACAGGCACGCATTGACTACAAGCTGTCTGTTCTCTATCACAAATTGTTCTCTGGTTCCAGCCCTTCCTATCTTACTGAAATTCTTATTGTCTATTCACCTCTTCAAAACCTTCGTTCCTCCGCAGACACGCGTATTCTTTCAGTTCCCAGAACACGCACTAAAACATATGGTGAACGATCTTTCTCTTTCTGCGCGCCCCAAAAAAAATGTAATTCTCTTCCACAACACATCCTCAATATACCGACCATCACAGCCTTCAAAACTGCACTTAAAACACATCTCTTTAAACTCTACTGTCCCGACTGATTTCCTCCAATTGCTGATAAACGATGCTGCTGGTTGCTGTCCATGGCTTGGCGTGTACAAGTTCTCGGGTGGTTGGTGTGAACATATATTTGTTTGTTGTTTGGTCCCTATACAGATGTTTTAATTAAATAAATGTATGTTATTTTTATTGCCATGATTATGTTTGCTGATATTTTTATGTACAGCATGGGAAGCCCAGTCATCGGTTAGGGGTACCGCGCTATATAAGACCACTAATAATAATAATAATGATGGTGTCATAACAATACAAAATACACCATGTAAAAACACAGTACAAAATACACCATGGATTAACTCAGAACAAAATGCACTATGGATCAACACAGTACAAAATACACCATGCATCAACACAGTACAAAATACACCATATATCAACATAGTACACAATACTCTATGTATCAACAGAACAAAATACACCATGTATCAACGATATAAAAACTATTGGAGACATGTTGAACTACTCTCAAATAAACCAACCATTCAAACAAAGCCTTCTACTCCTGAAATATAAATAAATAATAACATGATTTGTATTGAATTCATCAATTCAATAAAAGTAAGTCAACTAATCAACAAGAAACTAAAGTTAACTTTGCAGTAGTGATTGCTGTGGAGACTTCAAATCTCTAATATAATTATAACACTTACCTCAGGCGATGTTGTCCAGCGCATTCCCGTGGTCGGGAGAAGTCCGGATATTGTTGTTCTCCTGAACATGTTGATGTGAACATCTCCTTTCCTCAATTCAAAACAATAACGTTCCTATTTGATGATATGCAATAAGTGTTAAATGATTATGTTCACATTTGACGATATGCAATGAATGTAAAGAAATTATGGATGGCGAGGAGAGGGGCGAATAAGGGGACGATATCTTGACCAGATGCAATGATTGGATGATAAGGAAGTGGACCTTTCAAAGTGCAGGTGGTCATGTGACGTCACTGTTTAATTTAGCATGCACTTTATTTTATTTCAAACTCGATTTAAGATTCAGGTGTGTTGGCATCACAGGTTTACCTGACTTTACCCTGCTAATATGTGGCATCACAGATTTACCTGACTTTACCCTGCTAATATGTGACATCACAGATTTACCTGACTTTACCCGGCTAATATGTGACATCACAGATTTACCTGACTTTACCCGGCTAATATGTGACATCACAGATTTACCTGACTTTACCCTGCTAATATGTGGCATCACAGATTTACCTGACTTTACCCTGCTAATATGTGACATCACAGGTTTACCTGACTTTACCCTGCTAATATGAGGCATCACAGGTTTACCTGACTTTACCCTGCTAATATGTGACATCACAGATTTACCTGACTTTACCCTGCTAATATGTGGCATCACAGATTTACCTGACTTTACCCTGCTAATATGAGGCATCACAGGTTTACCTGACTTTACCCTGCTAATATGTGACATCACAGATTTACCTGACTTTACCCTGCTACTATGTGACATCACAGGTTAACCTGACTTTACCCTGCTAATATGTGACATCACAGGTTTACCTGACTTTACCCTGCTAATATGTGACATCACAGGTTTACCTGACTTTACCCTGCTAATATGTGACATCACAGATTTACCTGACTTTACCCTGCTAATATGTGACATCACAGGTTTATCCGACTTTACCCTGCTAATATGTGACATCACAGGTTTACCTGACTTTACCCTGCTAATATGTGACATCACAGGTTTACCTGACTTTACCCTGCTAATATGTGACATCACAGGTTTACCTGACTTTACCCTGCTAATATGTGACATCACAGATTTACCTGACTTTACCCTGCTAATATGTGACATCACAGGTTTACCTGACTTTACCCGGCTAATATGTGACATCACAGGTTTACCTGACTTTACCCTGCTAATATGTGACATCACAGATTTACCTCACTTTACCCTGCTAATATGTGAATCACAGATTTACCTGACTTTACCCTGCTATGTGGTATCGCAGGCTTACCTGACTTTACTCGGCTAATGTGTAATATCACATTGTAACATATAATTTTTATTTTATTAGAACGAATTTCAAATTATATTCAAGAAAAGAATACTCACAATATGTTAGTCATTATCGTGTTATACTGACGTTAAATAAATTGTATACAATACTAAAAAAATTAGTCATTTTACGATTCAAAAATATTGGCATATTATATCTTATGATACAATAAATATTGGCATATGGTATTTTTTTATACAATAAATATTGGCATATTGTATCTTATGCTACTAAAATATTGGCACATTGTATCTTATGCTACTAAAATATTGGCACATTGTATCTTATGCTACCAAACTATGCGCACATTGTATCTTATGCTACTAACATTTGGGCATCTTGTATCCTTGTATCTAGATGATTAAACAAGTTGACGTGTCGTCTCTGCTGTGGCTCGTGACGTTGGCTGTCATGATGTCATGTCTGACAGCCCAGTGCCCCGTCCCAGCACCCTGTATATGTGACATCAGCGTACATTGTGAGGGACGGAATCTGTCGTCCATTCCAAAGTCGATGTCCAACGCCGGTCAACAGTTTTTGGGCTTTTATCTTAGTCGGAACCACATCAGCACGGTAACCAAGGACGCTTTCAAGGTATGAAATTTGTTGATGTAAGAGGTTCTCAAACTGTACAGGGGTAGATTAGTACTTGGGTGGGTGAGGTCAAGCTTATGTAGCTGCTAATTTTTATGTGAAGCGCAGTGAGCCTAGCCTTAGGCCGGGGTACTGCAGTGAGCCTAGCCTTAGGCGGGGTACTGCAGTGCGCCTAGCCTTTGACCGGGGTACTGCAGTGAGCCTAGCCCTAGGCTGGAGTACTGCAGTGAGCCTAGCCTTAGGCCGGGGTACTGCAGTGAGCCTAGCCCTAGGCTGGAGTACTGCGCTATATAAAACAACTTAATAATAATAATGTATTATCAAATGGGTGGTTAAAAAATACGTCTTTTTCTAAATCTTAGCCCATTTTAGGTTTGACATACCTCGGTGTCATACTTACTATTTAGTAATTTGGGAAACAATGTTCTGTTTAGGTAAAGGAAATGCGTGATTGGGAATACATTTTTTAAAAATATTTTAAAAACACTTTGAAGAAAGGAGGCAGATCGCATTATCGTAATCCGGCCACCAGTGGTGTCACCGGTGCAGTAAACTCATGGTGTCATTCCCCCACCCCACATCCGACGTTCACGGTGGATGGTGGATTTCTTCTTGTTAAAATAAGTCCACATTATAAAAATTACAAGAACAAAAACAAATTAATTGAAGGTCAGGAGTTCAATGTAACTTAACATTTAATTTATTTAACAATTTCCTCTCCTCGTCTCCAAAGCTGCAAACCTAGCAATCACTTGATTAAAATCAATTTTCTTCATTATATCACTTTCAATTGATAGTAGAGGCAGACCAGAAAGCCTTTCCTTTCCCAAGGTGGATCGTAAATAGTTCTTGATAAGTCGTAGTTTTGAAAAGCTCAGGTCACATCAAGCCATAGACGCACAGATCGTAAGAAACAATTGAAGGCTTAGCGGGAGTATTGGAAGAGATTCTAGGAAGTCCCATTCAGCTATGAAATTGAAAACATCAAATACTGGTTAGTCCATGACTTTGTGCTATTCAATATCAGCTGCCTTTAGGTGTCCTCTAAGCCTAGGTATTTCTTTTAAAAGCTCATCTTCTGCTTCTCGTGAAGACATTCCTAAGGCCGCTAGGTTGATCACCACCTTGTCAAAAGTAAAGCCTTTAGTCGGCTAATACTGTTGTGTAAGAATACATTTCTCAATTAGATAAGCCTAAATGTAAATTTAGCAGATAAACGTGAAATCACAAAAAGCATGTAAAAGACATTGTGCTGTAAGACAGATGTTGGCAAATCGCGGCTTCTCTTTAGCGACCTAAGTGCGGCTCGGCCAGTCGGCCACAAAACGGTTTTGACTCCGAAAAACAGTGTTCTTGACAGTTTCTTGAAAAGAAATTTGGCTCTTAACATTTTTTTTTATCGTCCTGTTGCTGATTTTTGGCTCCTTTGACTAATGAGTTTGCCCACCACTGTTTATGGAAATCGTGCTCAAATGTTAAGGGGCGGTGCTAGTGATCAATCAGCAAACATATTTACCTTTGAGCATTTCTTGGTTTTGCTATATTCGGATTGAAAAACCCTTTTTTACAATTAATTAAAAGATAGTTGATCATTTTTTAACATTATTTTGTTCACTCTATAAATAGGTAAAAATATTTTTTTTTTAATATTTTAATTTTTTTTTCCGTTTCGATTCATGTCCATAGAATCGCCCGACCACATTGTATTTGGTATCAATAGAAAGCTTTATTTCTAAGAATTTAGATAAACATAGCTTCCTGTCACTTACGAAAGTTAACGAAAACTTCAATCATGGTCAAAACGGTGTTTTTCTGACCTAGTTTCTATAAGATCATTACCCTTCATGAGGCATCGACCTTGAACTTTTAATTAAGCGCGCATTTTTATTGGTTACATGTGTGGAAAATTTAAGTGTGAATGGTTATCCCTTTATGAAATTCGGTTAGACTGAATGTGCTCTGTGAATATGCACATTTTCAATTTGGTGTCACCCCTGAGATGGTGTAATCCGGTTCGGTCCGCACACCGCTAGCTACGCCACTGCCGACCACTGGTAATATATATATATGTATATGTATATGGCCTCCTTCCATCTTCGTGAGACGAGGGCGTAGCTCTATAGTTCTACACTTTGACGAGTGGCTCACTAGGCCAATCATAGAATGGCAATCACGGCCGCATCTCTCGCAGGAGAATATTGAGTCCCGGTAAATTTTTGATTTCCGAATTGTTCTTTTTGATTCAAGGGCCTCGTTACGAGTAACTTCTGCCTTTTTTACTCCTTCAAACACTGCTGTTCACCAGTTGGAGCGATGTTCGGCAATGATCTCCCAATCGTTTGTTTCAATATTGGCTTCCTTCAAGCTTCTTTTGCAAACGTCAATATATATATATATATATATATATATATATATATATATATATATAATAGTCAACTTATATGTTCTTTGTCTATTTGTTTATATATTGTCTCTTTTCAAGTTTTTTTTACACAAATAAATATATATATATATATATATATATATATATATATATATATATATATAAGATTCAACTTATAGGTTCTTTGTCTAGCCCACAAAACCTTTCCGGGCACTGGCTCAATATTTTCGTAAACTTACAAACTGTGAAATATTGTTTCACTATCATGTATTCTGTTGAACATCACGTTAGAAAAAGTTATTAGAAGCATACACGTGAGCACCCGTGGAACCATAACAAGCTACTTCCAGAGAGGTATTACAGAACAACAACCATTAGGAACTTGATCCCTTACCAGAAAAGCAGAGAACCTGCTCAATACATGGGAGAGGAAAATCCTCAGCAAAATATATGGTTAAGTGATAGACAATGATGTCTGGAGAATCCATCAAACCAAGACATATACCAATGTACAAAGACCCACCCATAGTCGGAAAAATTTTTTAAAAGACCGAGTGCACTGGGCAGGACTTATTGAAAGGATGCCGTATTGGAGATGAGCCAAAAATGATATAAATGCAGAAGCGGAAAGCCGTGTGTCGATCCGAATGGAAAGATGTGGTGGAGCAGGCCAGGGCCCTAAATGGGCTGCAGCGCCACTGATAATGATGATGTGAAGGATTATCTTTAAAAGCCTTTGACAATTAATTCTTACAGTATAAAAATGACACACTGAAATATATATAAGAATGAGCTAGGGTGACATAACACTTAAAGGGAGATATGATTTAAGTATGTTCGGATTCCTAAAAACAATCTTATTTATTTTCTATTATTTTACGGAAATCGAATAAATTTAAATGCGCAAAAAATATTTTAAATCTGCTTTTATTTTAGTAAATGTTTATGTATTATTATTATAAATTACAAATACATTTAAAGTATCAACTAAGGAACTATTTCAAGCATTTTTTATGTGTTTAAAAGTTACGAAAAAATAAGAAAAATAATATAAAATCATGATCAAAGAATTACACAGTAATCACATTTATCGGGAAAACCCAAACATCGGTAGTTTTAGTGCGTCTTTTAGTGCGTTGTTAACATTGCGAAATAAAATGTTTAATTAATTTGTTATAAGTAATCACGCAAATGATGTCATAGCGCGAATAGCTTTTTTTCTCCAAAACTCTTAGGTTTCTTTAAATTTAATAACCATGCGTGACAAAACTGATACTGTATTTTCCCTTCTTAAAAGTAAAATTAATAAATACAATTGATTGCTTTTTAAATTGTTAATAAAACACACACACATTTCTGCTGTGTATATTTACATTAAAAAGTTTTGCCTTTTTTATTCAAAAAATATACATTTATTAAAATTATAACGTAATAAAAACAAACCTTTAAATATAATTATAATAAGAAAATGCGGTTTAAGTCAAACAGTGTAGTGCAACACCATAGCCAAATAGCATTGACTAATCCACTTATAACTAAAACAAAAAAAAAGAACGAACCATATGAAGTGCAAATTATTTTAGTTCGGGCATGGAAGGGACGACATTAACTACAAAATTTTGTCCTTGGCGTACATCTACAAAGATGGCTTAGCACCGGAATATCTCAAGGAACTTATTTATAAACATGTATTTCTGAAGAGCCTGCGGTCTTCAACACAGTACTTACTGAGTGTTCCTAGAGTGGATGAACACAGAAAAAAGTCTGACGGAGTGCGCTCTTTTGAAGCGATAATGCCAAAATTATTGAACAGTTTGCCTCAAACTTTTAGGGGAATTGTAAATGATAAAAAAATCATTTAAGAAACAATTAAAAACTTTTTTGTTTCAATAGATTTCGGAGAACCAGAGCGCAGTGAGCATGATAAAGTGGCATGGATACCAGCACGATATAAATATCAAATCAAAATAATCAAACAATCCAGTAAAGATTTTTCTAAATTTATTTAAATCTGGGTGGGTGAGGGGTTGGTTACCTTGCCCCAGGCAGCACAAGATACGTCTCAAAATAAAGGAATGAATTTAATAACCTTTTTGGGAACATACATTTCAGAGGTAGGAAATAGGATGTGTACTTTTTCACGTGAAAGACAATATATTAAAATCCTATGGTATTACATTTGGGAAAAAAAGAGATGTTACATTCTCTTTTTTACAAATATGTGTATGTTCATTTTGCTCAAGGCAGAACAAGATACGTTTCAAAATAAAGGAATGGTTTGATAAATAATTAAATACATGTCGGAGGTAGGAAATAAGATGTGTACATTTTTACGTGAATGACAATATAGTTAACTCCTATGGTATTACCTTTGTGAAAAAGAGATGTTACGTTCTCTTTTCACAAATATGGGTATGTTCATTTTGCCCAAGGCAACACAAAATACGTCTCAAAATGAAGGAATGATTTTGATAAATAATCATTTTACTTGGGTAAATACATGTCGGAGGTAGGAAATAGGATGTATTCATTTTCACGTGGATGACAACATAGTTAACTCCTATGGTATTACATTTGTGAAAAAAGAGATGTTACTCTCTCTTTTTGCAAATATACTTATGTTTACCCATTAAGAAGATCAACGGCGTTAACAAATCTTGGGTACATTTATTTAAGTATAACCATGAATATCAAAACCCAATCATTTTACACACTTGAACAATTAATTTAGAAAAATAGAGATGGGTTAATATGTACTTTCAAAAAATTAAAATACATTTTTGTTTTTACTTTGTAAAAAGTAAAGAGATTTGTATTTAATGAGATTAAACATTTAAATTTAAAAAATAAAAAAAAATAAAAAAAGACTCAAATCTGTTATAGACGTGGAAAAAGGTTGCGAATTCTTCTTTAGATCAAAGAATTCTTTGTTTTACGATTTTCTGATAATATATAATTTTTCTTTAAAAAAGCAAAAAATATGTTTAAATTTTTGCTGAAGATATCAATATATATCGAATTCCAATAATATAAAATATTTTTATATCATATATAGAGTTTTTGGTGTAAGTTTAAGGCAAGTTTTTTTAAAACAATTTTTAGAGAAAAAAAAGTTTTAATTCAAGGGCACGAAAAGGGGTAAATCTAAAGTAAATCTCTAAGTAGTAATTGTCCTTCAATTAACTTCTATAGTGACAAAAGTGATATAATTAGTAATTATTTAGACTGTGTAATTTAATGTCATGTTTAGAAGGGGGGGGGGGAAGTAGTTTAGGTGCGTGAAAAGGAGTAGGGTAGGCCTATAATATAGAGCAGATAAATTCTTCTCAAAACGTAATAATGTTAGAAACGTAAATATTATTACATTTTTAAAGTTATGAATCGGATTAGTTTTTGCAATAGCAGTTAAAAATTATCGCATAGGATCTGCCATTATTAACCCGATAACATCGGATCATTCATTCTAGTATAATAATAATAATACTCACTGCAAAATTGAAAATTTGTATAGATCCATGGCTTATTTTCGAAATGAACTGTCTAGAACTCTAGATTTCTAGAAATCTATTAAATCTTTTTTTTTTTTAAATGGCTGCACAAGCCTGCTAGGAAGTTTATGACCTTTGTATGTTTTCTAATAGGGTTTCGTCGTGAGCAGTATTGACCTGAGCCATAACCCCATTACGTCATTTGACACAACTGCTTTCCTTGGCCTGGAGGATTCCATCCTGGAGCTGAACCTAGAAGACACGCATCTGACCAGTTTTCCAGCGTCCATCGCTGGTCTCAAGAACCTACAGACCTTAAACATTCAGAGTAACCCCATTCCGGGAATACAGTCAGCCAGCACCGCCATCATTGGTCAATCCTTGCTCAGGTGAGTCCGCCAGCACTGCCATCATTGATCAATCATTGCTCAGGTGAGTCCGCCAGCACCGCCATCATTGGTCAATCATTGCTAAGGTGAGTCAGCCAGCACCGCCATCATTGGTCAATCATTGCTCAGGTGAGTCCGCCAAGAGTCAAACAGATAAAATTAGTTAATCATTGATAAGTTGAGTCAAAAAAGATAACACTCGTCCATCATTGATCAGGTCAGTCAGATGTCATTGTTCGATCACTGATCAGATCAGTCAACGAAATATCGTACGTCAATAACTGATTAGGTGATTGTAACAGAAAATATTGATCAAACGCTAGATATGTTTTTCAAGTTCGATTTTTTTCCCAAGTCACCCTGATTTCATTCCACATTAAACCAATGCAACATTGAAATATATTTGAACTATCCGTGGACTCCATAAAATACACTAATTTGTATAATCTTTTTTTTTTTCTCGTTAATTTATACAATAAATGAAGAACAAATATCGGGTGAATTGACTCAGTTGCTAATAATCAAATAAGATAAGATAAGATAAGATTCTTTTGTGAACCCAAATAAATGGATTTTTTTTAAAAAAGAAGAGGTCCGTTTCCAGCACATACAGAAATAGTCTCACAAAGACAAATATGTTTAACTAGAAAAAATGTAACACAGGACATCAAAAAACTTTTTTCAAAAATATGCCTTCACAAACAAAAGGTACCGTAGTCAATATTCAATTCAAAACCACCGTTTCCTTCCATTGTCACTGATAAATTAAAAGTATTTCATTCGCTTAACAGTGGGTTGGAAGTTATGGCACGAAACAATAAATATGCGTTAAATTTAGTAGCTTGAAGTGAAGTGAATAAAAGAAATGTAACAATGTGCACAATATTGTTATTTAGTAACGAGAATGTATCATATCAAAACGTCCAAAGTATTTCCGTATTCAAATCCCCCACCCCCCCACCCCCACACACACACATTCTCCACACAAGATATCGTAAGAGCAACTCGCCGAAAGGCTATATGATCAGTGATGCGAGCGATTTGACGGGATATAAGTCGTTGCTTTTTCCAGCTTCTCCTTGGGACGCACGGGTATAAGATACTGGCCGTCTGCTCTGAATAACTTGGTCAGACTCCAGACTTTGGACTTGTCCAACAATATTGTGTCGTTTTTGAGGGATGGGGCGGTCCAGGCCTTCGCCAACACCCTGACAGAGCTGCGACTTATCAACAGCAGTCTCACTACATTCCAGACGGAGTTCTCTAAACTAACCAATCTTTGGGTAGGTTGTACATGATAGATGGGGATGTACATGGGTAGGTTGTACTTGATAGATGGGGATGTAGATGGGTAGGTTGTACTTGATAGATGGGATTTAGATGGATAGGTTGTACTTGATAGATGGGATGTAGATGGGTAGGTTGTGCTTGATAGATGGGGATGTAGATGGGTAGGTTGGGCTTGATAGATGGGGATGTAGATGGGTAGGTTGTACTTGATAGATGGGATTAGATGGGTAGGTTGTACTTGATAGATGGGCTGTAGATGGGTAGGTTGTACTTGATAGATGGGATGTAGATGGGTAGGTTGCACTTGGTAGATGGGGATGTAGATGGGGATGTAGATGGGTAGGTTGTACTTGATAGATAGGATGTACATGGGTAGGTTGTACTTGGTAGCTTGGATGTAGATGGGTAGGTTGTGCTTGGTAGATGGGATGTAGATGGGTAGGTTGTACTTGGTAGATGGGATGTAGATAGGTAGGTTGTACTTGGTAGATGGGGATGTAGATGGGTAGGTTGTACTTGATAGATGGGGATGTAGATGGGTAGGTTGTACTTGGTAGATGGGGATATAGATGGGTAGGTTGTACTTGATAGATGGGGATGTAGATGGGTAGATTGTACTTGATAGATGGGATGTAGATGGGTAGGTTGTACTTGATAGATGGGATTAGATGGGTAGGTTGTACTTGATAGATGGGCTGTAGATGGGTAGGTTGTACTTGGTGGATGGGATGTAGATGGGTAGGTTGTACTTGGTAGATGGGGATGTAGATGGGTAGGTTGTACTTGATAGATGGGATTTAGATGGATAGGTTGTACTTGATAGATGGGATGTAGATGGGTAGGTTGTGCTTGATAGATGGGGATGTAGATGGGTAGGTTGGGCTTGATAGATGGGGATGTAGATGGGTAGGTTGTACTTGTTAGATGGGGATGTAGATGGGTAGGTTGTACTTGATAGATGGGATTAGATGGGTAGGTTGTACTTGATAGATGGGCTGTAGATGGGTAGGTTGTACTTGATAGATGGGATGTAGATGGGTAGGTTGTACTTGGTAGATGGGGATGTAGATGGGTAGGTTGTACTTGATAGATGGGATGTAGATGGGTAGGTTGTACTTGGTAGATGGGGATGTAGATGGGTAGGTTGTACTTGATAGATGGGATTAGATGGGTAGGTTGTACTTGATAGATGGGCTGTAGATGGGTAGGTTGTACTTGATAGATGGGATGTAGATGGGTAGGTTGTACTTGGTAGATGGGGATGTAGATGGGTAGGTTGTACTTGATAGATGGGATTTAGATGGGTAGGTTGTACTTGATAGATGGGATGTAGATGGGTAGGTTGTACTTGATAGATGGGATGTAGATGGGTAGGTTGTACTTGGTAGATGGGGATGTAGATGGGTAGGTTGTACTTGATAGATGGGATTAGATGGGTAGGTTGTACTTGATAGATGGGCTGTAGATGGGTAGGTTGTACTTGATAGATGGGATGTAGATGGGTAGGTTGTACTTGGTAGATGGGGATGTAGATGGGTAGGTTGTACTTGATAGATGGGATTTAGATGGATAGGTTGTACTTGATAGATGGGATGTAGATGGGTAGGTTGTGCTTGATAGATGGGGATGTAGATGGGTAGGTTGGGCTTGATAGATGGGGATGTAGATGGGTAGGTTGTACTTGTTAGATGGGGATGTAGATGGGTAGGTTGTACTTGATAGATGGGATTAGATGGGTAGGTTGTACTTGATAGATGGGCTGTAGATGGGTAGGTTGTACTTGATAGATGGGATGTAGATGGGTAGGTTGTACTTGGTAGATGGGGATGTAGATGGGTAGGTTGTACTTGATAGATGGGATTTAGATGGGTAGGTTGTACTTGATAGATGGGATGTAGATGGGTAGGTTGTACTTGATAGATGGGATGTAGATGGGTAGGTTGTACTTGGTAGATGGGGATGTAGATGGGTAGGTTGTACTTGATAGATGGGATTTAGATGGGTAGGTTGTACTTGATAGATGGGATGTAGATGGGTAGGTTGTACTTGATAGATGGGATGTAGATGGGTAGGTTGTACTTGGTAGATGGGGATGTAGATGGGTAGGTTGTACTTGATAGATGGGATTTAGATGGGTAGGTTGTACTTGATAGATGGGATGTAGATGGGTAGGTTGTGCTTGGTAGATGGGATGTAGATGGGTAGGTTGTACTTGGTAGATGGGATGTAGATAGGTAGGTTGTACTTGGTAGATGGGGATGTAGATGGGTAGGTTGTACTTGACAGATGGGGATGTAGATGGGTAGGTTGTACTTGGTAGATGGGGATATAGATGGGTAGATTGTACTTCATAGATGGGGATGTAGATGGGTAGATTGTACTTGATAGATGGGATGTAGATGGGTAGATTGTACTTGATAGATTGGGATGTAGATGGGTAGGTTGTACTTGATAGATGGGATTAGATGGGTAGGTTGTACTTGATAGATGGGCTGTAGATGGGTAGGTTGTACTTGATGGATGAGATGTAGATGGGTAGGTTGTACTTGGTAGATGGGGATGTAGATGGGTAGGTTGTACTTGATAGATGGGATTTAGATGGATAGGTTGTACTTGATAGATGGGATGTAGATGGGTAGGTTGTGCTTGATAGATGGGGATGTAGATGGGTAGGTTGGGCTTGATAGATGGGGATGTAGATGGGTAGGTTGTACTTGATAGATGGGATTTAGATGGATAGGTTGTACTTGATAGATGGGATGTAGATTGGTTGGTTGTGCTTGATAGATGCGGATGTAGATGGGTAGGTTGTACTTGATAGATGGAGATGTAGATGGGTAGGTTGTGCTTGATAGATGGGGATGTAGATGGGTAGGTTGTACTTGGTATATGGGATGTAGATGGGTAGGTTGTACTTGGTAGATGTGATGTAGATGGGTAGGTTGTACGTGATAGATGGGATGTAGATGGGTAGGTTGTACTTGGTAGATGGGATGTAGATAAGAGTTCTAAACGCAACACATCTTCTCTTATAAATCTATTTGTATGTGACTCTTTGTTTTATAAGGGAGGAGTATCAAGAAGACATTCCATTAAGTTCTTACCAAGTAAAAATGTAATTATAAATGTAATGTAAAAGTGAGAAGTACACTAGACATTAATGTAATGTAAAAGTGAGAAGTACACTAGACATTAATGTAATGTAAAAGTGAGAAGTACACTAGACATTAATGTAATGTAAAAGTGAGAAGTACACTAGACATTAATGTAATGTAAAAGTGAGAAGTACACTAGACATTAATGTAATGTAAAAGTGAGAAGTACACTAGACATTAATGTAATGTAAAAGTGAGAAGTACACTAGACATTAATTTAATGTAAAAGTGAGAAGTACACTAGACATTAATGTAATGTAAAAGTGAGAAGTACACTAGACATTAATGTAATGTAAAAGTGAGAAGTACACTAGACATTAATGTAAAAGTGAGAAGTACACTAGACATTAATGTAATGTTAAAATACAAACACCTCCGTTCGTTTCTAGCTGCTGGATCTGTCTGCCAACCGCATCTCTTCACTTCCTGATGGAGCATTAAAAAACATGTCTGGAACACTGAGGAAGTTTTCTATGTCGTCTGCTCAGCTTCAATACATTCCTGATGCTTTAGAAGACTTAACGGTCTTGGAGGTATAGTGCTGACCTGGTTTAGCAACGTGTCAAAGATGGGTGAATTTAAATTTAAAAACAATATATATATACACCAGAATGTCTCTCCTGGGTAGAAAATGGAAAAGGTTAGGATAAAACTTTAGGATCGTAAGTTGATATTTACAGGAATCATAATAGCAGTAGATATATTATCTAATATTTGAATTCGAGTGTTGTGTTGATATCTGACATTTGTATTTTTGTCACGTGACCAGGAGCTGGATCTGAGCAACAATCCCATGGAGTCCAATTACAATGACATTCTCAACACAGGAACGAGTTACACCTTCAGCAAGTCATCTGCCACGCTCAGGATTATCAATCTGTCCTACTGCCGTCTGATGGCACTGCCAAGGGCGATAACTAATTTAACGAGTCTTGAAGAACTTGACCTCAGCGGAAATAAAATTGTCTCCCTTTACGACAACCTCTTCGTTTCTCTGACACAGCTGAAGAAGCTGATGTTGAATGACAACCCTCTGTCTCGTATACCGTAAGTATACAAGCCCCTGTCTCGTATACCGTAAGTATACAACCCTCTGTCTCGTATACCGTAAGTATGCAGCCATCTGTGTCGTATACCGCAAGTATACAATCCTCTGTCTCGTATACCGAAAGTATGCAGCCGTCTGTCTCGTATATCGTAAGTATACAACCCTCTGTCTCGTATACCGTAAGTATACAACCTCTGTCTCGTATACCGTAAGTATACAACCCTCTGTCTCGTATACCGTAAGTATACAACCCTCTGTCTCGTATACCGTAAGTATGCACCCGTCTGTCTCGTATATAGTAACTAGATAACCCTCTGTCTCGTATACCTTACTATACAACCTTTCATGTTTATAAGAAATTAAGAAGCTAATAGACAAAACTTAGCTTTATTTAAAAAATGATGTAGACAACCCGCTGTCTCATTTTTACCACTGCACAGAGTCGTGACAGAGTGTAAATACACTGCAAAATAAGTTCTCACATTATTACTCTATACGAAATGGAGCACTGCTATTACTCTATAGTGACTGACATACGCTCTAAGTCCACATTTCGTCATTGGACAGCGGTGATATCTCCATCCTGATCTTCTTAGAACTCAGTGAGGCCTTTGATACCGTTGACCATCAGACCCTTTACAAAACCGTTGAAGATTACTTTTGAATTTCTGGTTCAGTTTTGGCTTGGTTTCGGTCCTACATCTCCGATAGAGCGCAGGCGGCCGCTGTTGATGGCTGTCTATCCGGTAGAGCTGACTTGGTGTACGGGGTGCCACCGGGGTCCTTTCTGGGTCCCGTCCTATTCTCAATGCATACCAGGCCACTTCTCCTCCTGCTCGGGAGGCATGCTGCTGAGGGCCAGTCATTCGCAGATGACTAGCAGCTATACAAACATCCACATCCCTCTCTTGTCAATTCTACTATCCACACCTTTTAGGAGTGCATTGGTGATGTCAAGTCATGGATGACGTCAACAAGTTAAAGCTAAACGATGACAAAACGGAAGCATTCACAATTATGAATCATCCTCTAACTCAGCTCTCCCCATCTCGTTTCATGTAGCTCAGATATAGAGTTCACACCCTCTGCTAGGAATCTTGGTTACATTCTTTCTGAAAACATGTCTCTCAATAATCATAGTTCTCACATCTGTCACCCTGCATACACCATACCGCTATTGGTCAGATCAGCTCCATCCGCCACTACCTCACAGTCAGCGCAACAAAATCACTAGTCTGTGCTCTAGTTTTCTCTCGTCTTGACTATTGTAACTCTCTTCTATCAGATTCACCAAAAAATTTCTTATAAAAACTGCAGAAAGTTCAAAACTCAGCGCTAGGTTAAATCTAAAGGCAAAGAAACGTAATCACGTCACTCCACTACTTCACTCCCTCCATTGGTTCCCTTTACAGGCACGCATTGACAACAAGTTGTCTGTTCTTTGTCACAACTTTTTCTCTGGTTCCATCCATTCCTTTTTTACTGAACTTCTTTCTGTCTATTCATCCCCTGGAAAGCTTCGTTCCTCCGCAGACACGCGTAATCTTTCAGCTCCCAGAAAACGCACTAAAACATAATAGGTTTATATAATATATTATGGTGAACGAACTTTTTCTTTTTGTGCTCCCAAACAATGAAATTCTCTCCCATTTCACATCAGCAATTATAACGACCTTCCCAGCCTTCAAAACTGCCCTCAAGACCAATCTCTTCGAACTCTACTATACAGACTCATTCTCATCCCCCTATGATAAACACCGCTCGGTGCATGCTGGATGCTGTCCATGTCTAGACAGGGGTAGATAGTACTTGGGTGGGTGCTGACCATGGCTAGACAGGGATAGATAGTACTTGGGTGGGTGCTGACCATGGCTAGACAGGGATAGATAGTACTTGGGTGGGTGCTGACCATGTCTAGACAGGGATAGATAGTACTTGGGTGGGTGCTGACCATGGCTAGACAGGGATAGATAGTACTTGGGTGGGTGCTGACCATGTCTAGACAGGGATAGATAGTACTTGGGTGGGTGCTGACCATGGCTAGACAGGGATAGATAGTACTTGGGTGGGTGCTGACCATGGCTAGACAGGGATAGATAGTACTTGGCTGGGTGCTGTCCATGGCTAGACAGGGGTAGATAGTACTTGGGTTGGGTGATGTCCATGGCTAGACAGGGGTAGATAGTACTTGGGTTGGGTGCTGACCATGTCTAGACAGGGGTAGATAGTACTTGGGTGGGTGCTGACCATGTCTAGACAGGGATAGATAGTACTTGGGTGGGTGCTGACCATGTCTAGACAGGGATAGATAGTACTTGGGTGGGTGCTGACCATGTCTAGACAGGGATAGATAGTACTTGGCTGGGTGATGACCATGGCTAAACAGGGATAGATAATACATGGGTGGGTGCTGACCATGGCTGTCCAGGGGTAGATAGTACTTGGGTGGGTGAGGTCAAGCTTTTTACCATTTGTTGTTTTTAAATGCGTAATTTTCTGTCATTGCTAATTTTTATGTGAAGCGCAGTGAGTTTAGCCCTAGGGTAGGGTACAGCAGTGAGCCTAGCCCTAGGGTGGGGTACAGCAGTGAGCCTAGCCCTAGGATGGGGTACAGCAGTGAGCCTAGCCCTAGGGTGGGGTACAGCAGTGAGCCTAGCCCTAGGGTAGGGTACAGCAGTGAGCCTAGCCCTAGGGTGGGGTACAGCAGTGAGCCTAGCCCTAGGGTGGGGTACAGCAGTGAGCCTAGCCCTAGGGTGGGGTACAGCAGTGAGCCTAGCCCTAGGGTGGGGTACAGCAGTGAGCCTAGCCCTAGGGTGGGGTACAGCAGTGAGCCTAGCCCTAGGGTGGGGTACTGCAGTGAGCCTAGCCCTAGGATTGGGTACAGCAGTGAGCCTAGCCCTAGGGTGGGGTACTGCAGTGAGCCTAGCCCTAGGGTGGGGTACTGCGCTATTTAAAACCACCTTAATAATAATATTCTGATGATGGTAGACGTGAAAACTGTGTGCGCGAGTGTATCCTTGCAAGCACAGCGTGAAATTTTAAATGCAATTTTAGATACATTTTTTTATTCTTAAACCTAACATTTACTCTCAAAGACAGTTACAATGTAACCGCCGCCTGCACATGGTGACAGATATCTTAAAATAATTCTGTTCGAAGGTACAAATCCTTCTCTGGCCTCATTTCCCTCACTAACCTCAACCTGGCCAGGTGTTACCTGTCCTACATTCCAAGCTCCTCAATACCTGAGATTCACGAACTGAATACGGTAAGTTACAATAAGATCAGAAAATATATATATTTTTTTAAAGTGTTTTTAAGCACATGAAGGTCATCCAAATTTCAGCAAAGACTCTATAGGCTTTTTAAAAAAAAGGGGGGGGGGAGTGGGGTTTGGGGGGGGGAGGGGAGGGTAGCTATGTTCGTTTTGTTGCTCTAACTCCTCGATGACCACCGTATGATTGCTGTAAATATTGATTAACTACCTTATTTTCAGCTGGACTTGTCCAACAATCAAATCACAAGCATCCTGGACTTTGCGTTTCCTGGTGCCAACAAACTAACAGCCGTTGATCTGTCAGACAATTCAATACAGATCGTTCAAGCTGATGCCTTCAACAGCGCACACAGCATGAAAATATTAAAAATGTCAAGGTCAGTCTCGCCACACGGGCCATCCATAAACGATGTTAAGCGTCCAAAGGGGGCAGGGGGTCTCACGCATTGTGTGACGATATGTGATAGAAGTGTCTGATTTGGGTCACAAGTTGTGACGATTTGGAGGGCAGGGGTGGGGGTCAAAATATCCTGACGTCATTTTTGGATGATACCATAGTCAAGTATATCATTCTTATGTCAACAGTAACACAAAGTGCCTGACATCCCTCACAAAATAATTACTAATGGAGTAACATAAAATTAACGACATGATGAAGATTTCTGCTAAATAAAACGTCTATTTATTAACCAGATACTGAACATACATTTTTAATTTTTAAAAACTGTTGGTGTTAAATCCAGAAACACAACTATTACGAGCAGACCTCACCTGGAATAATTGTGATATTTTTAAGAAGTTTCAAAGACTAAACAGAGCAGTTGAAATGTTGCAAGCCTCAAAGACTAACTAAACAGAGCAGTTGAGATGTTGCAAGCCTCAAAGACTAACTAAACAGAGGAGTTGAGAAGTTGCAAGCCTCAAAGACTACTAAACAGAGCAGTTGAGAAGTTGCAAGCCTCAAAGACTAACTAAACAGAGCAGTTGAGAAGTTGCAAGCCTCAAAGACTACTAAACAGAGCAGTTGAGAAGTTGCAAGCGTCAAAGACTACTAAACAGAGCAGTTGAGAAGTTGCAAGCCTCAAAGACTAACTAAACAGAGCAGTTGAGAAGTTGCAAGCCTCAAAGACTAACTAAACAGAGCAGTTGAGAAGTTGCAAGCCTCAAAGACTAACTAAACAGAGCAGTTGAGAAGTTGCAAGCCTCAAAGACTACTAAACAGAGCAGTTGAGAAGTTGTAAGCCTTAAAAGACTAACTAAAAAGAGCAGTTGAGAAGTTGTAAGCCTCAAAAGACTAACTAAACAGAGCAGTTGAGAAGTTGTAAGCCTTTAAAAGACTTGCTGAACAGAAAAGTTTATAAACACAAAAGTTTCATTAGTCTCATTCAGGTTGTATAAATTCTACCGGGCGTAGGAAGGGGAGCATTTTTTTTCTTTATATTTAGGGCGTCATTTTTGGCCAAGTACAGAGGGTTGTTTTTTTTTTTCTTGGAAGAGGGTGGTATAATGCTTGGGACGCCCCGGGCGACTCTAACCCCTAGCTAAGCCTCTGAAATTATATTTGGATTTTTCCTCAGATGTTCCTTGACCAACTTACCCAAGCCCCTCTCTAAGGCCGATGGACTTAGGACAGTGTATGTTGATCAGAATCCAATCCCTTGCACGTGTGACCTCAGCTGGATCATGGGGTGGCAAGCTCAGTCTGGACTTATCCCCAACATCGTAGGTCGGTGTGACAACGACCCCAACATGTCGCTCGGTACTTTCGTCAACAGCAAGCTGCGTGACTGCGACTCTCCGGTAACACTGTTCAACACCAGCTCTGGCCCCGCCGTGCCATTCGGTTAAACGAACCAGTGGATGGACACCTTGTTGACATCCGAATTAATTACCCTTGACGGACCTCATTATTTTGACAAATGTTTATACACATGTTTAACAACCACAACAAAATATTAATTAATTAATAAGCCGGACTTTCTCTAAACTTGATCTGACCTAGTTGACATTAGGACTTGACCTTATGTTGCTCCAGCCTAATAAAAAAGTTTTAGACTTTGGGAGTGTGAAGATTATCTTACTTAGGTCGAAAATATAATTTTTAAATCGTATTTCTGTTTGGCACAAGGTTTTACAACATTCAAAATAATTGTTTTCAATACCGGAAGAAAAAGTTTCCTTTTACTCGAAATTATCAACAAAAACTGATGTTTATTTTCAAAGAAATCTCATAAAATAAAGGAAACAGATTTACAAAATGCAATGATGAACATGGAGAAGTGTTTCTTTTTTTTTCAAAAGATCCACTGCTAATAAGGAAATATTTCAATGGAATAGTTCATAAAGGCAACTCTCTAATTATAATTCTTCAATAACGCCCAAAGAGTTTCTTGGTACTGTATGAATGATAAAATTTGTGTTTTCCTTCAAATATGAATTTCTGATGTAACACTATTAGTGAAAATTAAAGCAATTTGAGTTAGAGATTATTTGTATTATTGATAAAACTGCAGATAACTTGATGAAAAAAATCGACTTCTGTAGTTAAATTATTACAGCTTTAATGGACGGAGAAAGTAGTTGAATTTCTTGATTTATTTGAAAACCAGTGCTGCCTACATGTACAGAAATTGTTGTAAAATAAAATTGTATACATTAATATGATTGTGTTTTATTTGTGTTTAATAATATTTAAGAAATTTAGTGAAAAAAAAATTTAAAAAAGGACAAGAGACTAAAGGACTTCAAGACACTGAAATACTGCAAGAGACCAAAAACAACAAGGGACTGAAGGACTTCAAGACACTGAAAGACGGCAAGAGACCAAAAACAACAAGAGACTGAAAGACATCAAGACACTGAAAGACGGCAAGAGACCAAAAACAACAAGAGACTGAAGGACTTCAAGACACTGAAGGACAAAAACAGACCAAAAACAGCATGAGACTGAAGGACTTCAAGACACTGAAATACTGCAAGAGTCACAATGCAGCAAGCGACTGAAGGACTTAAAGACACTGAAAGACTGCAAGAGACCAAAAACAACAAGAGACTAAAGGACTTCAAGACACCGAAGGACAAAAACAGACCAAAAACAGCATGAGACTGAAGGACTTCAAGACACTGAAATACTGCAAGAGTCACAATGCAGCAAGAGACTGAAGGACTGCAAGACACTGAAAGACTGCAAGAGACCAAAAACTACAAGAGACTGAAGGACTTCAAGACACTGAAGGACAAAAACAGACCAAAAACAGCATGAGACTGAAGGACTTCAAGACACTGAAATACTGCAAGAGTCACAATGCAGCAAGCGACTGAAGGACTTCAAGACACTGAAAGACTGCAAGATACCAAAAACAACAAGAGACTGAAGGACTTCAAGACACTGAAGGACAAAAACAGACCAAAAACAGCATGAGACTGAAGGACTTCAAGACACTGAAAGACAACAAGAGACCAAAAGACTTCATGACACTGAAGGACAACCAGAGACCGAAGGACTTCAAGACACTGAAAGACAACAAGAGACTTAAGGACTTCAAGACACTTAAGGATTCCAAGAGACCAAAGGACATCAAGGGACTGGAAAAACTCCAAAAGACTGAAGGACTCCAAGAGACTGAAGGACTCCAAGAGACTAAAGGACATCAAAAGACTGAAGTACTCCAAGAAACTGAAGAATTCTAAGATAGTGAAGGACACCGAGAGACTGAAGAACTACAAGAGGCTGAAGGACACCAAGAGAAGAAAGGACAACAAGAGACAAAAGGACACCAGGAGACTGAAAAACACAAAGACTAAAGTAGAGAGACTGAAGAACAACAAGAGACCAAATCACACCAAGAGACCAAAGGACACTAAGAGATTGAAGGACTAAGAGACTTGAGTACACAGAGACTCTGGCAAAGCTAGTGGAAAAACTAACAATGAATTAGAACAAAAGATTCAAAATAAATTCATTATGAGAGCAACGATTCTCATTCTGTGTTATATCTTCAAATAGCTATAAAAAAAATATCCAAAACTAAATTAGTTTAGTAGGGTATTCATGACCACAGATGGAGAAATACTGCATAAATAAACTAATTAAGGGAAATCTTAATTATTAGTCTCCATGACCTCATCTCTACCAAGTTCTGATGTGTCTGTCATCATTTGTCTCATGTTTTTCATGTTCTGACAAAGACACATGTGCTTTAGTCTCATTGACCTCATCTCTATCATGTTCTGATGTGTCTCTCATCATTAGTTTCATGTTATGTCCTAATGATAATGCTAGTAACACAATCTACAACTCAGTTCTTGTTCAAATGGATAGTTTTATTACAGGTACCAACAAATCAAAATCATAGTTAACAAGAGAATGAGAGGTTGATATATAAGTTCACCCATAAGCTGCAGTCTCTGCCATTAGTGCCACAATCACGGGATACAATGTTAAAATAAGTTTAAATCAACAAGACCCTACCCTACTGTTATCCCCCCTGTCTTCTCACATTAAAAATACAGAGTAACTAAAATGCTTTAGTATATAATTACAAGTATATACAGTGTATAAAAACATACCTTCTAAACGTAGGTCATATAATGTGCTACAAATTTTTTTTGTTAAGTGCAGTTCAAGAAACTATTTCTAATAAAGAATATTTTTTTAAAGATATTTCTAATTAAAGTAACATGCAGTAGATGTCATCAGATAGACAACTATTATAGCCTAGATTTTCCTGGAGGTGTTGCATCACATTGATGTAATAATGATCTTAAAGCTGGTTGTGGCAGATCAGCAGTTCACAATCTTGTTTAAAGATCATGTTATGATTAAAGTATAAAAACTCTTCCATCAATATTTTGAGCTTTTGGTGAAATTCTAAACAAGAGTATGCAAAGACTTGCATATTTTACAGCCTCCGCAATAAAAATTAGAAAAATTGTCAGCACATTGTGTTGTTATCAAAAGTTGAACTAAAGGAAAAATCTGCTTTGCACTAGTGGCTAAAAGAACATTTCATTAGCAGTAGCCCATGGTCAATTTCCAAAACGTACAATAGGATATTCAAGAATATCGATAGTAAAGTAAAATTATCTCAACAGTGTTGAGCATCAAAGACTTGGGCAGATCAAGAGCTTAGCTCCACTGTCTGGCTCAGTGAATTGTACAACAGAATTATAGCATTGTTAGACACAGCTCTATACATTAGTATTACAGATTTTGAAATAAAATATTCAAAAATGTTGACAGAACACAGCATAGCTTTATGACTTTTAAGAATGTTGGATAAATAGTTGAGAACGTTTCTACATTCCATTGCATGCTTGGCAGATAAAAGGCCACTTTTTATAGGCAGGTGGTTTTCAACCAGAGTTGTAAGCTCAAGCCAAACACTCTACAGATCTCTCATTGTAAGCTCAAGCCAAACACTCTACAGATCTCTCATAAACTATCTGCATTTAGACTGGGCGTGTTCATGTCAGAAAATGTCAAATTCCATTTATATTACAGTCAATTAACACACTAATGCATGAATACTTTGTGTTGTAGCTAGGGGTTTAGATTGGGCGTCTTATAAAGTCCTCCAGAACGTTAAGATAGACCTGTCAATCACTCCAGTGAGAGACCAGAACGTTAAGATAGACCTGTCAATCACTCCAGTGAGAGACCAGAACGTTAAAAAAGATCTGTCAATCACTCCAGTGATCGTCTTGGTCTCATCCATTGGTTGGGTTAGTAAACCGTCTCATGCGTTAGTCAACTGTCTGTCAGATAGGTCTACTGTCTGTCAGATAGGTCAACTGTCTGATTGGTAAGTCAGTTTTTTATTCTGTTAAGACTACTATGCTATAGAACACAGTCTGTTAAGACTACTATGCGACAAAAGGAAATCTCTTAAGTTTTTTTACTGTGCTCTATTCCTTGCCATACTTCTTTTTGTCTTGTTTGCTGATGAAGGCTCTAAGCCGAAATGTACAAATCTTTTTCCCTGTTTATTAATTCAAGTTTAGCATACCTTGTTCTTATATTTCCATAAAACATAGCTTATTAATTAGACTTAACTCCTTGCTTACTTATTTGGATCAAGTTGGCTTTGCTTCAAAAATAGTTGAAAACCCCTGTACTTTGACAAGATGTTTTGTCAGCTACTGTCAATCACTGTCATGATGTCTGACAAAGTCAAGATATTATGTCAGATGCTGTCGTGTCATGTTTGAATGAAGAAAATAAATGAAAACTTAAAAATATCACAGAATTGGAATAAATATGCAAAATGATCTTTTCACACCTTGACATTAGAAGCAGTTAAGTTCTTATGTAGGATTGGTAAAGAATGATTGAATATCCCAGACATGAGATCCCAAACTAATGATGCATTTTTCTATGGGACATTTGAGCTACTTCATAGCAATAGTTTCAGGTAGCTTTTAAATTTAAGAGCTACTTTACACATAAGTGGACTATCAACTTTTTAACAATGTTGAATCAGATCAATATATTAATTTGTAAAGTATTTTCAAATGAATTCTTGGGGTATTCCCAGTAGTCTTCTCTATTGATTAAAATGAATTCTTGGGAAATTCCCAGTAGTCTTCTCTATTGATTAAAATGAATTCTTGGGAAATTCCCAGTAGTCTGCTCCCATCGTTAAAAGGCTAGGAAGGATATTTCTAAAAATCTTTGTGCAATTATATTTAAAGACAACCCCCCCCCCCCCCCAATTGATTAAAATGAATTCTTGGGAAATTCCCAGTCGTCTGCTCCCCTCGTTAAAAGGCTAGGAAGGATATTTCTAAAAATCTTTGTGCAATTATATTTAAAGACAACCCCCCCCCCCCCCATTAACGCAGAGAATTATAAATCATGGCTACCTAAAAGAGAACTCCACTTTTAAATGCCTTCGCCAAATTAGTGTTTTAAAACTGAAAGACACTGACTCTTCATTTTCTAAGTTCTTTCACTATGGCCTGAATAGTTTTGCTGTCTCCTTCTGTTATCCAAATGTTACAAGGGTTAAAGGTCAAGAAACTAACAGGGTAATTTAGTAAGCAGGTAACTCAAGCACAAATCAAATGTTAGCATAAGAGGAAGTCATTCTTTCTATGTACAGATTTATTTAAGTAATTTATTTTCAAAAAATAAGACCAGATATAAAAATGACCAGAAACCAAAAATGGAAGTGTGGTCCAGAAAACTGCTTTATGAACCCAGCTTAGAAAAACATATTTTAAATTAAACCAATGGAAAAATCATTTTGTAAAGGATTTTTGAGCTGATTTATTAGATTGTCTTAAATCAAAGCCAAATTTCATGTAATTCCAAGTCTCAATGTCTTAGGTCAAAATCCAATTCCATGTTATTCCATGTCTGATTGTCTTAGATCAAAGCCCAAATCCATGTAATTCCATGACTCATTCAATAACAGAATTTTTCTACAAACTGACTTTATTGGAAACAGTGAAAAGACTTTGCTCAAGAGAGTTCTAATAAATTATGATTACTCTTTTAAGCCAGGGCTTTTTTCTGCATCTAGTAAAGAGATATTTTTTAAAAACATTATTGCATTGCTTAACCTTTGGTAAATAGTACAAAAATAAAATAATATTTGATGCAATTGCAAATACCTCACATTAGTGAACCCACTACCTGCATGTACAGTGCCTGTATGTACAGTGCCTGTATGTGCACTACCTCTGTGTGCACTACCTCTGTGTGCACTACCTCTGTGTGCACTACCTCTGTGTGCACTACCTCTGTGTGCACTACCGGTGTGTACACTACCTGTATGTGGTATGTTTGAAATTTTTCTTATAACAGTACAGTCATATGGGCTGTTCACAAGGAATCGACACATTAATATCAATTATAGACAAACTAATTTGATGTAATTTGTTTCCTAATACACAGGACCACGAGTGTTAAAATATATATCAATCAACTTGATTTATGTATCAATAAACTTGATTTATGCATTAAATGTTGAGGAAGGTGATCATGATATGAAATAATACATTAGACAATTCTCAGTTTTGCAAATGTCAATACTTTAAAATATAAGACCATTTTAATATACAGCTAAGACATGCTGGCAATAGTGATGACACCAGTCAAAAAAACTGGCAATCTTTAAAAACTTTGCCCCAGGGCTAAAAGGGTTTTAGTTTGAGGCTATTAAAATATTCTGGTGGAATGATTTTTCTGTGGAGTTTTTTTGTTTTACTGAATTGTTACAAATGGACGTGAGCAGATTTAAATATCAAGTATTTTGGATGAGCTTATTCGCCAAGATGTATTTGTGTATTTTTTTTAAATATGGATGTTTGGAATTGAAACATAATTGGGTGGCTAGGGAGATGGCTGGAAAGATGAATGCATCATGCACTTTCTATGCTGGACAGCATTTGATAAGCATTTCTATTGCACATGCTTGGTTGACATGGAGCCCAGCTTACAAGGATTGTTGAGTGAATAACTCTGTGAACAATGGTTCACATCAGGGATTGATTTGATGAAATAACTATAACAGAATTAATTAATCCTGTCATAACAAAGAGATCCACCAATTATGCTTACAATGAAATGAATATAGGATGATTCACATTGGTTCCGACACCAGCCAAATCTCTTTAACAGGGCTCTGACAAGGATATTCTTTGATGACACTGATGTTCCTTGCATTTTGCAGAATGAAGTTCCAGCTTCATTTCAACACAAAAATTATAGACTTTGTACAATTTCTTTCAATTCAAAAGAAATTTTAATGACAGATTCTGTTCATTAGTATTGCATGTTTACTTGCATATCATCTGCATAGATTAAAATTACTCAAAATGACATCTCCCCAAGGCCAGGGATTCTGTTAGTGAATGCACTGGATGAACTTTGTAGAGCTTGCATATTGTTGTTAAAGCACTGGTCTTATGTACAACTAGAGCTGTCATCATGATGTAGACATGTTATCTTGACAGTGACAAAATCCTTACAGCTGTCATCTGGACAAGTTAGACAATGTGTTTGTTGAGGCATTAGTGCCATGTGTGACCCCGCTTCCGTCTGTCATCTGATCCTCGTAAGAGAGAACTTTAAATGGAGGCCCTGTTCGCAAGATGGCCTCCACTGCATCAAGTCGGCTGATTTCTTTCAACTTGTTGACCAATTGTCGAATGGAGGCATCAGGATGTCGTCTTGTCCATTCATTGAGTACCTGAAATAAAAGAAAAACTATTAATAATGTCTTTAATGTGCTTTACAAATGACAATAACATTTTTGTAGTTGCAAGACATTGTATTGAATTGTATAGTCCAAGAAAGTGGTGGCCGTGTGGGATAAATTTTGCGGCCCACAATCACATATCTTCATCAACTAACAAAATGAAATATGGGAAAAAAACAGGTGGAAAGGTGTAAAATGCCAGCATTGGGTCAGAGAATAAAACTGCGCTTAACTAAGGTGTGAACTTACCTTTTGTGTCTGGCTAATTTTGGTGGCATCCCCCTCAGTTGGCTCCAGGGCTGGCAAGGCATCACTAAGTCCTAACGTGACGGCTAACAAACACCAGTCTTTGCCCATAGCCTCAGGAGGGTCCAGCAGCAGGCTCAAAAACCTCTGGGTGTGGATGGTCAGATGGGATATGGGTAAATCCATGCCAAGGGTGACCGTCTCAAGAATTTCCTCCGAACCTAAGCAGGCAATGTCTATGAAGTCTTCCTTGATGTTGCCACTCAGCACCACCGAGGATCTGTTGTCCAGCTGCATCCGCAATAATTCTGTCGGTGAATAGGACCGAACCACTTTCCCGTGTTGCCTGAGTTGAGATGGACTCAGAGTGTAACGTTCCACACACAGACCCGGGCAGACATTCTCAACAACCTGCTCAATAATGTTCACAAAATCCTCTAGGAAGTAATACAAGTTGGACCTCTCTGTTTCAGGGCCTCTCACTTTGATCTCTAAGTATTGCTCGTTTCTGTCCATGTCTATGATTCCCTCCAGACGAGCGCAGCAGTACTTCGATCCATGATGCCACTGGTACAGGTCTGCATCTTTCTGCTGTTCTCTTGCCTTGGTCTCGTCATCACTGCTATCCCCTTCATCATTATCACGATCATGGTCATCAGCAGACAAAATGCTCCGTCTGAGGCAAACCTAAGAATAACAATGTAAGAAAATAAGGTTACGTAAGTTATCTCCACAAACAGCTGTTACTTTCTTACATTTCTTCTTCATTTCTACTTTTATTTATGGTATCAAATTTCTTCACTCTTTGCTGTCTTATAACAACAAATATTGTAATTTACAATTATGCATTAAATTTGTTTAAATTAAAAGTTAAAGTCCATGTGTTTATAGTGGTTGTTTATGGTGGCTGTGCTATGGTGTCTGTGCTATGATGACTGTGCTATGGTGGCTATGTTTTGGTTGTTGTGCTATGGTTGTTGTGCTATGGTTGTTGTGCTATGGTTGTTGTGCTATGGTTGTTGTGCTATGGTTGTTGTGCTATGGTTGTGCTATGGTTGTTGTGCTATGGTTGTTGTGCTATGGTGGTTGTGCTATGTTAGCTATGTTTTGGTTGCTTTGCTATGGTTGCTGTGCTATGGTGGCTTTTCTATGGTGGCTGTGCTATGGTGGCTATGTTTTGTTGCTTTTCTATGGTGGCTGTGCTATGACTGCTGTTCCATGGTTGATGTGCTATGGCTGAGTACCTACCTGTATCCTAGGGAAGAGATACTTGAGCTGGGCACCTGACTGAAAGCTAGTATGTAGACGAACTCCACCATACACAGGATTAGGAAACCTAGTGTCATCCCTCAGCCACAAACCTTCCAGTGCCTCCACAAAGTTCAGACATGGGAACTCATACTCCACCTCGTCCTCCACCTCACACGGAGTACACAGTTCTAGAGCCTCCAATACCTGGACATCAAATGACCACTGCTTTAACACATCATTATACATGGAGTGATGAGAACTCAAATATTTATGAAATAGATCATTCACAAATGGTTTTTACAAGTTTAACATTCTTTCTAAAATAAAAATTTTTGCATGCAAATGTGTGGACCTGAAGTAAGCTGAGAGCATCCGTAGACGGATACATAAGTTGGAACTCATCCAGGGAGAAGCATCCAGTGACACGAGCCTGTGATATTCTTTCATGAGACAATAAGTTGCCAAGCACCTCCGTACCCAACCAACGTGGACTGAGAACCACAAGGTCTGTTTGGCTGTGCAGGTAAACAATCTGCAATCACAAGATCAATATATTTACTTGACTGTAGTCACTTCCATGGTTGTTTTGTGTGACAATCAAGTGTTTAATGTAATATACAAGTAGTGAGCCATTTGAGATGTGAACATCTTAAAATTTAGCAGGCTTTCTTGACTTAAACATAATGTCTCAGACTTGAAATAAAAAAATTTTCAAGATATAAATTCAAAAATATCAAAATAGAGTTTGGTGGCTTTAAGAGAAAAACCTTGTAAAAGTTTAATGAGTAAAAAGATGTCTCATAAATTATAAAAATAAATTATGGGCCACACTATCATTTAAGCCAAATTATTAAAATGTTAAGTGTGTGGTAGAAGCATAATGAGAAATTATACATTCAATTAAAATTTTGAAAAGAATGAAACCTTTTGGCTACGCTGTACACAATGATAAAAATGTAGAATTGTTTACCCTCAAACTCTTAAAATTGTACAAAATCATCACAAAATCGTTAAATACATTATATTTCTGGCTAAAAAATATACATTTACAGTATACATAATGCTTACATCCAAAATCGTACATTGTACACCAAAATGGTAAGAGTAAACAGGTCTGCAATAAGCCCCACCCCTCCCAATAAGCCCCATCCCTCCCAAAAAGCCCCACCTCTCCCAATAAGCCCCACCCCCCCAAAAGCCCCACCTCTCCCATCAGCTGTAGCTGCCTGTCCAACAACTTGACATCTTCATCACTGGCCAGGGGATTGATGCATCCTCTCACTTGTTCAGTAAACTGTGGCCAGCTAAGCACAGGGTATGCTATAAAAGCTTTTCTCCACTCAGGCAGCTGGGCAACTACTGCTGACAGAAAACCGTTGGAGCAAGGTAGTCTCTGTGAGGAAACAAATCATATCACTGAGATGCTTTACACAAATAATATCACTGAGATGCTTTACACAAATAATATCACTGAGATGTTTTACACCAATAATACACCAATAATATCACTGAGATGTTTTACACCAATAATACACCAATAATATCACTGAGATGTTTTACACCAATAATACACCAATAATATCACTGAGATGTTTTACACCAATAATATCACTGAGATGTTTTACAGGTAAGCATTTTTTTCTTCAATTTTTCAAGGGCAAAATAAAATATAAATTCAATAAAGTCTAAATGTCACTGTGAGGTATTGACTTAACTGAGACTTTCAGAAATATTTTTCTGAATTAATTTTAAACAATGTATGCACCGTGATCCTAAAACTGTAACAATAATAAAAATAATAACCACTGCTTTAATACATCATTATATATGAAGACCTCAAGGGAAAAAACGGCAGAGTCCATTTTTAATTTTTCTGAGTTATCACCCCTGACTTATAGCCAGTTAAAAATAGAAGGTGCTGAATTAAGTTTAAAGAAGAAAAAATGGCTAAGTCCATAAGAAAAATGGAAACGAAAAATCCGTTTACAATGGAAAAAGAAGCATAGTCCAATGTTTACAATGGAAAAGGGGGCTAAGTCACTAATATCACGTGACATTTGAAGTCACGTGATTTAAAGGTCCAATGAGAGATAGCTATAGTGTAAACAAAATTTAAAGATGGCGACCGATTCGCTCAGCTGACCGACAAACCGACGTAAAAGTTAACTGACAGACCAGAATTTTTTTATTTTCTACCACAAGAAAACAAAACAAATTTAATAAGCACGATAAATTGGACTTAAAACATTAACAAAAATAAAATTTGTATTTTTAAATCGCATTTTACCCTTGTTTTGTTATGTTCAGTTAATTAATGTGTGTATCTGTCTCGTCTCTTTCGCTGTCTCTCTAGTCAAGTCTAGTCTATCACTGTTTGTTGCATGTCTGTGTCTCTCCTTGTCAGTCTATCTCAGTTAGTTTGTATATCTCTCTCCCTTTCGCTCTAACTGTGTGTCTGACTCCCCCTGAACTCTTTATCTTCGAGTGTCTGACTTGCTATCTCGGTCTGTTACTCTTTACTGACTTTACTCTTAAACTTAAGTTCATACAGTTACAGCTACTGCTAGAGGAAAAAAAAAACTAATCTTGGGCCAAAATTGTAAGAAGCACATTAGAAACTTAGAAAGTATGATTTTAAATCTGATTTTCAGGTTAAATTCTAAATAATATATTTTTTAATGATAGTTATAGGCATGATCCATATTCTTATATTAATAGTTTAAACAAAAATAATTTGCCTAAGGCAGGG